TTCATGTACAAAAAAAACCAAAAAACTCCTAAATAATAATAATAAAAATGTATAGAGGAACAGCTCATTGCTACCCAAGGGACCAATCTATCTACCATAAAATCAATGGAATCACATTGATGCATCGCCCACCATATAGACCAAAGCAAACTGAAAATGAGGTTGCCCCGTGAAGTTATTTACCCACAATTGACAAAGAAACAAAACCATACATTGACAATATTTTTTCTACAGGGCACGGGATGCAAATGAAAGGACAAAAAAAGGAGGAGATTACAACATCAATTTCAAATTTGAGCCTCAAATTTCCTTTTTAAATAAGTCTGAAGGCGAACAGTTCCCCGTGAATGTACTGAAAACATGAGTGCTTTCTGTGTTTGCTTCGTTATATAAATAGAGGACATGGTGCACGAGAGGCAGCCAGCTAAATACGTTGTTGGTGATGGGCTGCAACCCAGTTTATGTTGAGGTTGGGACATTTGGACTACTGTTTTGTTATCCTTATTCATGGCTAACTTTTGTTGCTCCATTGAGTTGGAACCTAGGACATTGAAGCAAGGCCAACTTAACCATGCTAGGGTAACTTCATTTCATCTCTTTTTAATAATTAAATCAGTATTATTATTATGAGATTGCTGTTTTGGCGAATTGCAGATTTTATTATCAGTGAGGGAGAAGGACTACTCCAATATTAAGCGGATTGCACATCACTTTTCTGATGTATTTATTATACTTTAATTTTTTTTTTTTTGTCTTCCCTTGATCATTATTATAATTCTCTTTCATATATGCAGGAAATGGCTGCAGATGCAGCCCAGAAGATGGAACAAAGAGAATTCTCAATTTTCATCAGGGTATGTTATTAAGTTAAGTTTAGACTCTTTCTCTATTCTTGTGTTTTGGTTGGATCTCTCTGCTTATCATCTATTGATTTTTGATTAATTAAAATACTTTGTTCCCATGCATGTATACAGTTTTTAAAAATTTTCAACTTTTAATTTTTCTTTGTTGTAGGGATTAAGCGAGATTGAGCAGATAAAAGAAAATGAAATCCAATTACAAGATGATAGCCCGCAGATTGATCAAAGCAAGAAAAAGGATCAGATCACTGAAAACCCTTGCCAGTGTTCGTGCTCCGTTGTCAATAATGAATGCCCAGATAATGGGATGGATTTCAAGGAGCCAGTTACTGCTCCCTTTTGAGGCAAATTTAGTCATTTGGGATAGTAAGTGTTTGTAGTTATTTGCTTCATTTTTTTGTAAAATAGTCGTTCCTAGAGTACTAGGATTGATTCTGCCCTTCTGGTTTGTAAATAAGTTTGATCCTCAGACAATTAAATAACATTGGAATGATGTGAAGCTTTAGATTTTTTTTTTTCTTTTTGTTTTGTATATATTAGATGATGGATTATATAATAAGAGATAGCATTTTATTTTTCAAATTACTTTTCACCTATCCTAAAATTTAAATCATGGACTCAAACTTTCAAGCTTTCAGCCACCGAAGCATCCTAGGGAAGTGAAGCTTTAGATGCTACTCAAGGAAGAGAAACTCCAATGGAATTTGCTATCTTTACATGTGGGTTTAAGTTCGACTAGCTACGCCATCCACCAAAAATGAAAAAAAAAGTTGGGCTCATACATGGACCTAAGACCTTCAACAACATGGAGATGGAGGAAATTCAGCAATTTCGTTTGATTTTATTGATTAAGATTTAATTTGTGAAAAGTATTGAGTTTAGTTGACAAGTAACGTTATTTCTTACTTCATCAACTAAGGTCCGATTCTTAATTGAGGCTGCGAGACGGAAATTTTCTACAGAAAATTTTGGAAGATATATCAAAGCAAAATGACAACCAACCAAATGAATCAAACGTAATCCAAAAAATTCTTAGGGAAACAATAACAATGGATGACCTACATATCATATTCAATAACATCAGCGAGAAAGTCATAAATCTCCCTATAAGCATCAGGAACTTAAGAGTGTAAAATTCTAACGTGTCCAACTTCTTGGCCCATAAAGAATTTTTATGTCTGCATTTTCCCTCGAGGCGAACTTCAAATTTGCACCCAACTATTGAAGAATCTAGCATCTGACAACCTGTGACCCAAAAAGAACATAAATTTTGGGTATCCACTTCAACACCTTCCAACATAATACCTCCAGTAATGTGTATTACTACACCTTCCAACATAAACTAGTTTCCTTAGTTCTTGACCAGAGATCCGCGGTCTTCGTAGATTGTGGAATGCAGAAATCCAAAGATACAGCGAAGGAAATTTGGAGAAAAACACATGAAACTCTTTGTCTGCAATTTCTACACCATGCGACAATAAGTTTCAAAGATCATGAGAAGTGACAACCAACCATGTCTATTGCATGCCTATTGCATGCGGAGGGCATTTTTCGACATGTAAAGATAAATTTCTTCAGAGATGGTGTAGCAAGTTCAATACTCTTAAACACATCATCATGTATGCAGCACTAAAAAACTCAGAGTCTTGAGTCTTTCACCAAAAATCTTTACTAGTTGCAGGTTCAAGCATCTAAAGAGATGCAAATTCTCTAGCATAGGAAGTTCAGAAAGCATGCAACGAAAGCTCCTTTTCTGTGATTGCAACATAATGCACCCATAATATCCTTTCCTTTAATTTTGCTCTTTTTGACACAATTAGTCCTTTATCATCTGTTCATCCATTTAGTTTAGATTATAACTTGGTTTCTTGAACTACAATGGAATATGATAATTGAGGTTCAATGAAAGAGCATTAATTGTATTTAAGGAGTATTTGGATTAGTGGTTTAAATATAATTGATAATTGATATCTGATGATCTATAATCATTATTGTTTACAATTTAAAGTATCTAATCCATTTAATTAGAATCAACCATTAATAATTGTTTGTAAAACGAGTAAACAAACCCCCTTTATGTTTTCCCCCCCTGTCCACCAAATCCCGTTATTTTCTGCGACCATTAGCCTGTAACGAGCTCGCCCGTGAGAGCTTCCAATCTGGAGCACTTCTTCAAACATGTCAACCGCAACAAACTCACACGTTCGGTCTTTTGACCATGCCGATAACCGTCATTTCCTCTCCACGTTTATGAATGAACGTATTAACCACCAAATTTCTCCGTTTCTTTCTCCCATTACTGTCCTCACTCCATCATATATACGCACATCACATCCATCAAACGAGCTACTCCATTACTTAATTCTTTACAACCATCACACCCCGCCCGACTCTCTTTATCTGCAGTGCCTGAGAGAAAAATGAACTACTTCAGCACAAAGAAAAGCATCATCATCATGGATTTCTTCTGCGCCTACTTTCTCATTCTAGCTGCCATGAATGTTGTGACTGAAGCTTCTAAGGAGTTCAAAGTCGGCAATGACTTGGGTTGGCAGCAGCCTACTGCCGCCAACACTTCAACGTACACAGACTGGGCTGCTAGGAAGAGGTTCCACGTTGGAGACTCTCTCAGTGAGCCCATCAATCTGTACTTTTTCATTATTTTAATAACTCTCTTGTTTCTTCTTTATGATCCATCCCTTTGTTATTCTTAAGGTTAATTTCTGTTTTTTTTTTTCTACGCTTATTTGGCGCAGCTTTTGTGTACCAGAATGATTCAGTCCTTGAAGTGGATAAATGGGGATACTATCACTGCAACACGGAAACTCCCATCTCGGCTTTCAACGACGGAAACACTGTTATTGAACTTGACAGGCCAGGACCCTTCTATTTCATCAGCCGCAGTCAGGAACACTGCAAGAATGGTCAGAGATTGGAGGTTCTGGTGATGGGTCAGCACCATAGCTGGGACTCTCCGCCCTTGATGGCAGCTCCGCCAGAAGCTGACATGGCTCCCAGAGCACATCTTAGTTCAGGATTAGTAGTCACAGTGACAATTAGTTTGGTCTTCCTGCCTCTCATTTCCACAATTCTGATCTTGCTAGCATGATTAATTAATTTGTTGATTTGGTCATTGTTTTTCTTAGTTTTGAGATAGTTACCCAACTGTTGTTCTGTCTCGTGTCCCATGAATTTTATTTTTATTTTGAGTCATTCATTAGGTCATAAGATGTGGAAAATTATTGGTTTTTTTATTATTTAATTCCGCATTTAATTAATGGTAGTTTTTAGTTTTGATGTTGTTAAAGTAAGGGTTGAAATTTTTATGAGTTTTAAATTGAAATGTGATTAATATTTGAATTATATTTTGGATTTGGATTCTAAAATGAGAATAGTTAAATGAAAAATATAATTTTTAATATTAATAAATTTGTCTCTCATTTAATAATTTAATAATTATAATATTTATAATATGTCACTACTAGAATGCTTTGATTTACCGATGAGAAATCATGTCGGTCATTAAGCAAAGCACGTCGGAAAATCAGATTTCCAACTTGAATCACGTCGGTAATCTTTTGTCGGTGTAAGTCTGCTCGGTAATCCATTCACCGACGTGATAAAAAGTCACATCGGTGAATTCTATCCACATTACCGACAAAAATCAAGTCTGCATATTCTCACCGGAAAAGTACAATCGGCTAGTTGTCACGTCGGTAATTTACCGACGTGACTCACATTGGTACCAAACATGTTTTAATATTTTATCTTACTATTTAGACAAATTACCGACATAGACCACGTCTGCAAATCACTCATTGGGAAACCACCTACGGAGGTCAAAGTATTGTTGCCCACCTTTCTCACGTCGGTAATTAAGGTTTCTAAATATGTTTTTAATTTGTAGGAAACATAAAATTCATTGTCCTTTATTGAATTATTCAATCTATTTATTTAAATTAAAGATTAAATCATAAATGAAAAAATAAAGATAATTAAGAAAATATAAAATATAAATGAAAAACATAATCAAAAAATTAAAATTTACTTCAATTAGAGATATGATATTCATATATAGTTCTATTTCTTACAAAAAATGATAAAATATAAATTAATTTAATATTTATATATAAATTCAACCAAATAATACAATCAAAATATGATTGAAAATAAATTTTAAAATAAATGAATAGAATTTATTTGCCCAATGTTTTTCTCCAAATGTTTCCTACAAAATAACATTCAAAAAAGAAAATTAGAACTCTAAATAACTTGAATAGCTCAAATTAGTGTTTAATAAATTAAGAAAAAAGAATAGAAGAGAAAAAGAGAGGATATGGAGAAGAAATAAATAAAAAATAACATGAATATAATATAATTATAAACAAGAAAAATCATAAGCATTTGATAGAAGAGAAAGATAAGGGAGAAAGAAGAAAGAAGAAGAAAGGAAGGAAAGAAAAAAATGAATGGGGTCTGGAGTTTTGATATTATATAGAGGTCTTTGGCTATGTGTATGACGTCGGAAATGAGTTTACCGACGTGATACACATAGGTAGGAAATCGGTTTAGGCGGCAAGTAAAAATACAAAAATTTTGCATTTCCCTCCTTAAATTTACCGACAAGAAACATGTTGGAATATTAAAGGGTACGGCTAAAATTGCAATTCCACTTATATGTCTAGAAAAGTTTGTTTGATGGCCTAAACCGTAAAAAAAAAAAAAAACAAAAAAAACAAAAAAACAAAATATATATATGCATAACCTATTTGGATATAACACAAAAATAGATAAGAAATGGTGATATCATTGAACGTTTGAACCCCCACTTACCACCACTTGATCTATTAATTGTGAAAAAGAAAAAAGTTGAATTTCTCGCTACTTGCCTCGCCCGAAAAAATGAGGAAAAGGAACTGTAGCTGTAAGAGAAAGCTGAAAATGAAAGAAGGCAGGGGGGGTTCAACGGAAATGAGAGGCAAGAGGGGCGGGGGATCGGAGATCATGGTTGGCGTTGGAGACGAGGTGCAGCAGCTTTGCAACAGGCTTTCAGTGTCACCGACGTGATTCACTTTGGAATATTTTACCGACAAGCCTCACATCTCTAATGGTATGTTTGACTGCACAATTGACCAAATTTACAGGCGTACTTCTCGTCGGTGATGTGCGTTTCCGTCCTTCCCCCACCGGCCGGAGTGTAGGCTGCAATTACCGACAAGTAACACGTATGTATTTCCGTAAATTACCGACAAATGTTACGTCTGTACAATAAATAATATATCTTACTGCCATTTCTACTGTTTCTCAAGTTGCAGACTTACCTCTTGTCGGTAAAAGGATCCTTCACCGAGAAAACTT